AATAGCAAGTTCAACTGGTGGTTTCAAGAAAAGCAGTTTTGAACTGGTAAGGATATTTCCTTGAAACTTAAAGCCTAGAAACAGGTTAGAATTCTGTTCAAATAGTAGGTACATGTTTTTAAAGGACAGAGAAAGTCCAATCATCACTGTATATGTTAAATTAATGAAAGCTGATTTAAATGTAAATATTTTTATTTAATTAATGTTTGTATTGATAAATCTTTACCATATTTCTGTTCAGTATGGTATGCTAACATATCTTTACCTTTCCAATTGGTTGACACAATTAAATTTGTCAAAGACACTGATGGAAAATTAATAGTGATTTCAAATTCCAAGTAAATATTAATTTATTATTAGCATAAAATTTAATTCTTGATTATAAATAGTGATTATAGATCAAACATTAGTGATTTTAATATAATGAATTAACAAGATTATAAATTGTATTGTCAGTTAAAATTTTCATAAAATTATGAAAATTTTACTTATTGTCATTCTTCCAAAAAATACTGTTCACAATGAATATTTTGCTGACTTTCTTTCTCCATGACAAAAATAATGACTTGATTCATGTTTTAAAAGCAGTGCACTAACTGTTCAACTACATGGCAACAAAAACATGGGTAGAAGGCAGGAAAATAAGTAATCATGATTACTATTTCCAAGAGGAGCTCAATGAAACTTTCATAGATATTTTCAACTGTAATGTGCCACTAGAGTTAATGAATTCATAGTGCAATTCCTATAATTTTGGTGAGCAAAAGGGTCTATTTTTAATAAAAAAGAAAACTATTGCTCTTCTCATAGCACACTAATGTCCATTGTTATTTTCCATTATTGCATGGTCTTTCAGACCTTGTAAATTTGACAGTTCGGTGTTTGCCACATCTGCCCAATTCAATTAATACTTTGTGAAGTTCCTCAGGATTCAGCCTACCATAAGTCAGCATATCAGTCATGCTTAGAAATAAAGAAAATATTGATATAGAGATCCAACTTATTTACAATTAATAGTGTCCCTGTGCCAGGAAGTGAGAGGAAGGTAAATCCACCTGAAAAAAGACAAAGGAAACACAAGGCACATTCACTAGTTAATGGTCATGCTGAATTCTGTGCTCTGTCTCTAGGTTAGGGAAGTGAGAAGAGAAACTTGAAAACAGAATGGAGATGTGTTTTGTTAAGCTCCTTATAGCTGGAATAAATAGGATCACTCCACTGAGGACTCAGCCAAATGTAGTAAGATCTATTCCTGCCATTTTTTTTTTTTTTTATCTATTCCCTCTTTTTCTTCTTTCCTGTTTTACAGATTTTTCTATAGGAAAACAAACAACATTTTGTGATCAAGAACATAGCAGATAAAATACAGGCCAGCATCAGCCATCCAGAGAGTGGTACTGGAACCAGGTGAGGTCGTGGGCAGCAACCCTGAGGTGCTTGGCTCCTTTGTGGCGCATGACAAACTCGATCCAGAAGACTGCTCTATCCAGGGGCTTCATAGGTTGATCATGATGAATGCTTGATAATCTCATAGCATTCTCTTTATAACTAGAAGGCAAAAACATAGAAATGAGTTTTTGTTTTCCATAAAGATATGTAGTATATGTTTATGCTATACATACCAAAAAGGGTCATTCTCTTCTCCAGGCAATGAGCAAATAATGCTAAATATTATCACTCAATATCTAAGACTCCTTATTGATAAATAATTAGACAGCCAGTCAAAAAGAAATCCAAAATATTTTGGAATAAAGGATCTCTGGATCTTTGGACTGGCAGGTGGCATGGTAGTTGAGGGTGCTGGACTCCCACATGGCTGACTGCAGTTCAAGTCCTGGACCCGGTGGCATGCTTTCTCACTTTCTGTCACTCTCTCTTTCACTCTGTCCCTCTCTGGTAAAATAAATAAATAAATAAATAAAGTTAAATAAAATAATTCTTTAAAAGAACACTATTAGAGAACTATTCTTTAAAAAATTATCTTTTTTGCATATGATTTTCTTAAAAGAATAATAATTAAATAAATATGTTAAAAAACAACATAAACAATGGTAAGTTAAAATTATAGGTAATACAAATTTGGAATAAAATAACTTCAAAACAGTTCAACTATTAGTAGTTAAAGCGAAAACACATTGTCAAAAATAAGGACTCAATAATATATATACATAAATCATATTAATTATTTTTCTTACTGAGCTCTTTCAGTGAAAAACTAAGATATAAGGATATATATCCAAAGTTCAGTATATAAGTTTATAGTTTCATTTCAATTTATCTTTTTGCTAAATTAAATGAAATATTTAGGATCAGTTGGTGGCATCGTGATTAAAGTGACTGGATCTCACATGGCCATCTTTGTAGTTCAAATCCCAACCCAGTAGCTTGAAAAACATGCTGGGCTGTGAGCTTGATTGTCCATAATCCTGAGAGGAGAATGGAGAAGAGATTGCAGCATGGACATTTCCCCGAATGGGATGCTTTCTCACTTTCTCTTTCTGTCTCTCTCTGTCTTTCTTTTGTGAACGCATGTGCTGTATGGCAAATTAAAAAAATGGTAATAATATTAAATAATAAAAATCCACATACAATGTCAATCAGTATGTATTTAATTATTTATTTTTTAAAAAGGGGCCAGCAGGTTGTTTGGTGGTTAAGGTGCTAGAATCCCACATGGCCAACTGTGATTCAAGTTCCGGACATGACAGGTCATTTTATCACTTACCCTCTCTCTCTCTCTGGTAAGTGCACGTGCCCTGTGGTAAATTAGACAATGATAATAATAGTAAGTATAACTAAAATTAATAATCTTTTGGAAAAAAAAAAAACCGAGCCAGCTGGTGGTAGAGGTGGCTAAATCTCACATGGCTGATGGCACTGTTTGAGTCCCAGACATGGCACCTTGAACCACATGCTGGGAACATGTGCTTGTGTGCTAAAAATCTTGAGGAAACAATGGACAAGGGATTGCAGCATGACCATCCTACATGGAGGGAGTGATGAGGTGCTTTCTCACCTTGCCTCTCTGTCTCTCTCATGTGCCCTATAGCAAAAAAAGGTAAAACATAACAAACAAACAAAGAAACAAAGCAGATGATTCAAAAAAGAAGATTTAAATATTATAACAAGATTTTGTACTTTGAAAAAATTATCGACAGAATATTTGAAGTCTTAGAATTTTCTTTATTTCCAATTTTTGCAAATCACTTCAGCAGCTTGGCAAATTGAAATAAATATTTCCATATTGATCAGGAGGCTTGTTACTTGTAAATAAACGACTTACGAAGGTACGAAACAACATACATTTTCTGGCATGATGGATAACATAATCAAAGGCAGCTAAGCTTTCAAGCCACAGTACTTACAAAGGTTCATTAATGACAGTTTTCAAGGCATTGAGCAAATCTGCACTTGTCATCGTGTCCATGTTCACATCTACAGCTGCTCCCTTGACTTTCAGGTGAGCAATGTTATCAGGCTGTTCAGCAAACATGGGAATTCCCACCATAGGAATCCCATGGTAAATTGCTTCATAAATCCCATTAGTTCCACCATGAGTGATGAAAGCTTTGGTTTTCGGATGACCTAGTTTGGAGACAGAGTGAGAAATAGATATAGGCTCTATAGCAATCTGTTAGCAAATAGTCAAAGATAGATGGGATACAACCTTATCATATAGTTCACTGAAAAAGGTAGTATTTCTTAAGAAAGTTGAGCACATGAGCCATCATTTCAGAAATCTGCAATCTAAGGATAAGGATCTATTAACTCCTTTTGCATTTTCTGGGAATACAATACTGAGGAAGTGATATCTGAAGTGAGATTGAAACTTGAAGTATGATGAGAATTTGAACAGAAGATGCTGTTTTGTAAACCAGAGGAAGTGTGAATATATCTATAAAATTAATTGTTGATTATTTAACATATCTACTTAAAACCAGAAGTCAAATGTGAAACTTTTGATTATTAAATGTTTGTGAAATTTATTTGCTTTTTAACAGCTACTTAACTAGCTTATCATCTCATTGCAATCTCCTCTACAATCTTACCTAGAAGATCATTCTGAGGTATCCAGTCATAGAGTCGAGTATTGGCTCCTAAAGCAGCTGGTTTATTTCCTTCGTATCTCCATAAAACCTGCCAAAAAGTGATGCTTTAATTTTGGAAGTGAAAACACACAATTGGAATTAAAAAAAATTTTTTTTGAAAAGATTTTTGCTAGATTTTGAGAGTTTTGTGCTCACTGGAGAGACAGAAAGGTAGAAATCAACCCCCACCCCCAGGATGGATGGCCACACCACAATCCCTTCTCCTCATTCTCCTCTTGGGACTTTAGGTATGCACTCACACCAGCCCTGGGTAAGTCAAGTCTGCATCCTAGATTCAAACTGAGGTCAGCTATGTAGGAGTCCAGTGCTTAACCCCTATACCTCCTGCTGTCCCCTACAATGGGGGGTATTTTAAGGCTGAAAAGTCATTTAGAAACCAATATCCACCCTACTTTTGGTGATGGTTGAATGGGGGAATAAAAGTATAAACATTGAGATATACAGTAGGACTGCTTACATCTATTATTTTGAAAACATTGAAATATATAGTAGGACTGTTTACATCTATAATTTTGCAAAAGCTTGCACTAAGAGTCTATTAAGTAAGAGCTTCATTATTTTGACACTTATCACTTAAAAGCTTTTAGGAATGAGATTGTAAGTGAAAAATAGAAAACATTCAGGACTAGTTTAATCAATCAGTATATGGGAGCTAAAGTCTTTATGACAAATATGAATACTGTATAAATTTATATGTCACATGACTTAGGGAATCTGTCATGTTTAAAATCTACTATTTTTAAAAATATATAAATACCTTTATTTAGTGGCCCTTTTTTAAAGATTGTCTTTTATTCATTTCTCTCTTTTCTTTCTTTCCTCTTTCCTTCATACCTCCCTCAACATTTCCTACCTCCTTCTTTCTCTTTCTCTTCCCTTCCAACTTAGTTTTTTTTTTCTTTTTAGTATCTCATTTTTTTTGAAAGAGTATTAGATGCTATATTTGCTTATATTCCATTTCTCAATAAGGTATTTTGTTAGAATTTTAACAATTTTTTACATAGGTTTCCTTGGAGGAAAAATAAATTTTAGACTTAATATCATAAGATGATAATTTTTTTTTTAGTGATGTTTGCTATAGGAAACATGCACTTTCTGGAGAGACAGAGATAGACAGAGAGACAGAAAGCAAGAAGTCACACCCCAGGGGGGATGGCCATGCCACAGTCCCTTCTCTACTATTTTCCTCTCTGGATTTTGGGCATATATGCACATGTGCCTGAAATGTTTCAAGCCTCCAGATCCAGGACTCAAACCACAGTCAGCCATGTGGGATACTGGCTTCATATACTCTATACCACTTGCTGGCCTGATGACAAACTTTAAAAAGTCAAATGTAGAAATAAAAATAAAAATAAATAGTTTAACATACCTAATAGCAAACTTACATTTATAGTTTTATGTACATTAGCCAATATATAATGAGTCCTAACATATTTTATGATTAAGAGTATATAACCAGTAACAAGAAGAATGGTAATGGTAAAAATTAAGATTAATTCAGTATCATAAACTAGAAATAGAATATTCATGACAATTGAATAAGAATTTTAGTTTTTTAACTTACAGAACATTCAGTTTGGCAAGACAAAGAAAATTTAGGCTTCCACTTCTAAACCTCTTAGTAAAACCTACAAAGGTGGAGCATATTAGTGAGCATGATTTTTTTCTATTCTGTGTATAGCATTTTCTTTTCCCAGACTGTAGAGATAACAGATTTTGAATTTTTTTTTTTGAGAGTTTTTCTGCCATAGGGCACATGCTCTCACCAGAAAGACAGAGAGAGATAGAAAGACAGAAAGTGAGAAATCAGCCCCCAGAGGGGATGGCCATGCTGCAATCCCTTCTCCTCCATTCTCCTCTCGGGATCTTGGGCACACACGCACATGCGCCCGACGTGAGTTTAAGCCACTGGGTCCGGGACTTGAACCACGGTTGACTACATGGGAGTCCAGTGACATAGCCATTATGCTAACTGCTGGTCCCACATATTTTGAATTTTTGAGAGTAAGCAGTGCAGGCCAAAAGATTTTTCTTAGTAAAAAGCCAGAGAGGGGCTTAAGATCTCTATCTTTATTCCATTAAAGATAAATTACTAAGAAAAAAAGATTCAATAGCAATGTCAAGGGTTGGTGAGCTAATGATCAAATGTTCCTAACTACCCCATATTGTTTTACAAATTTTTTCTTAAAGCTGATACCAACTATATTCAGTGTATAATGAGTTCCAACTTCCATCTGAAAAGAGCACACTCTGCAATTAGTAAAAAGTTGCCCACCAGAATTAGAGGTTGTACTGACCTTCTGTGGAATCTGGGCAAGGGCTGAAGCAATGATATTGGCCTTTTCGTCTGTGAGGTTTTTGACCATTGACCCCAGAGAAAACACCACGATACCATCTTCACCTGAGCTCTGGACAAATTCTTCCATTTCCTACAGAAAATAACATTCTTTCTATTACAAAGATGCAGTATCAAAGGAAAAAAAGAAGAGAGAAAAGAAAAGAAACTCATCTACACTTCTAAATAGGAAAAGTCTGGAGAAGTGAAAGACACATTGTTAGAGTGAGTTATCCTCTGACATGTAGAACTGTTCGGTCTCTTTCAGAGGAAACACGCTTCCATCTGTATGACTTAAATGTGTAATTAATGACTACAGTATAAACATGGCACCGACACATTACAGGAATGAACAGCTGGTAAGGGGAGCTTTTCTTATGGTAGATGGAATTGTTTACTCGCAATGCTTAAATTTTATTAAACACACTAGTCTATAAATGTGTACAAAATATTCCACATAAGGAAGCCCAAGTAAAGGTTCTGAGTTTGGGTTTTACCATTATTATAATGCTAGGGCCAGAAATGGCAAAGCAGTTACATAGCTGGAACTCCACACAGATGACTGCAGTTTGAATCTCAGACCCGGTGGCTTGAAAATCATACCAGGCAGGTGTGTATGCTTGCCCAAGATCACAGAAGGAGAATGGAGGATAAGAGATTGTGGCATGGCCATCCCTCAGGGGTTGATTTCTCACTGACTTTGTCTCTCTGGCTAGCGCACGCATCCTGAAACAAAAACCTATTTTAATTTTTTTTTTAATATGCCAGTTACATCCAATGAATTATTAATAAATTCATCTACCTATCCTTGTTAGACAAACATTCAGGATCATTTTTCCTAAATTTATTTATGTTTTATAAGGCTCAGAAAAATTGCAACATATAGTAACATTTTAGAAATAGGTAATACAGTCAACCTGTTGTAATCATCATGGCATTTATGAGTATTTCTCTGCCCCTCTCACATGTAAACTCTCACATTAGTATGGCAGTAGCTGCATGCCGTAACTTTTTCTTTTTCTCTTCTTTCTTTTCAATTTAACTTTATTTATTTATTTTAATTTGATCAGAGAGGGACAGAGTGAGAAAGAGAGAAAGAAAGAAAGTCGCCAGGTCTGGGACTCGAACCATGGTCAACCATGTGGGAGTTCAACACCCTTAACCACCACACCACCTGCCAGCCCCAAGTTTTAGATCAGAAGAAATATAAACATTTCTCTAACAGGAAGTTTCCTGGGTCATTATTTACATTGCAGTCTAGGACTGGGCTTTTTCCAATTACAATCTACATGAAAGCCAGCTTCTAGAAATGCATCACCAATTCCCAGTGCATGAGATTATGGCCTCTATGGAATCAATGGATATCTGAATTAACAACTGGCATAATTATTGGGGGTGGTAGGCAGATGTCTAAAGGACAAGTAGACTGCTACTTTTAGCTTAGCTGATGTCAAAACCATATCCTGATATATTAGAAATTGGTGTTTCCCATTTTGACTCATCTCTGGATCAGAAGATGACTGAGTAAAAGAAAATATACAAACACACAACACCGATTTGAAGTTTTGACTGCAACGGTTTTTTCTTTTCTTTCTTTTTCTTTGTTCTTTCTTATAATTTATAGAGAGTTCATATACTCCCTAGAGAAAGACAGAGAGAGAGATAGAGAAAGAGGGATACAACACCCCCAACACTGGACATGATCACACCGCAATCACTTCTCTTCCATTTCTCCATTCTGTGAGGATTTGGGCACACATACTTAGTTTGAACCACAGTGGGCCAAATGAGATCCATTTCACTTAACCACTGGGCAGTGGGGCTGACTCCGTTTTTTTATTTGTTTAGTTTTATTCTATGTATTCAGGGGTTCATATAATTCTTTCATAAGAATTCAGGATTGGTATAGAGATTGCCCCAAGTTTACTTGGATAGTTAAATTGTGTTTAAAATCAAATAATTCTTCTCATAAAACATAACTACTGTTTTTGTATAATTGTGAGTTTGAAATGGCGGTGGGGCAGTAACTATGACAGTGTGGCCTGGGGTACTATCTAGTGAGCCATGATATATCATGTGTCTTTCTGTATTTATTTAAACATTAGTCCATTATCTCCTGTTATAGCAAGACTAAATAAAGCTTGTCTGTAGCTATAATGTGACTGGTATAAAAAGGACATTCAGAAGTCTCAAATGAATTTTCAAATTTAAATGTACCTCTTCCTCTAAATAGAAATCAGGAACTCTCCTGTGAACACCACTTAACCTGCAATCTTTCTAAAGAGATGATGATGTTCAATTGCCTACAAACCAAATAAGTATTTGCCTCCTCATCCTGTATTAGTAGAAAAATACAGTGTTCTTAACACGTTTATTGCTCTCCGCTGCTTCTCAGCACTTTTTCACTCTAACATTGCTGGCACTCCATGTTTAATTTTAGAAGACTGTAGAATTTGTTACACAATTTTATTTTTCACACCAAAAATCCTGCCATCATGTTCGTAAGGGATCAATACAACATCTGGGACTCTTATTTTTATAACTTCAAGTGAATGACTCTCAACCTATTTGTAGTGTTCTGTGCTGAGAATGAGTCCTTGTATGACCCAAATTATTTTGAGAAATGACAGAAAATTCCTTTGGTTCTTGAAAAGAAGTAGTTTGAAAATTAATCATCATCATCAAAGGAATTTTTCCAAAAATAGTCCCCCATAACAGTAAAGGTCGTCACTACCCATGAACTACCAAGATTAATATCTGAGAGCTCTAACAGGATGTATGTTTTCCTTCATAGCTTACTTTCTCCTACTCACCTAACCCATGGCATTCACCTGAGTTCTTAAGAAAATATCTTATCTCTCAAACAATTTGGTAAATGTGCCTGTTAATAACTTAGTTCAGCTTATTAGAAAGACTACAGCAGTCTTGGTTGAGCCATGGGGCCACACACTGGTTGATGCTGCTACCTGGCAGTCTGAGACCACGTGGGAGACCTGGGCTCCATTCCCAGTCCATTGTAATGCACAGTGGCAAACCAGTCCTTTCCAGTTACTTGGGAGCTGAGGCAGGATGGATTGCAATACAGAAAGACCCCGTCTAACAATCATCACAAACGCACATATACAGCAGTCTGTTCAGTTATCGCTCTGGCTCTGATTTTCAGTCCCTTCAATCTAGTATTCACATGATAGACACACTGAATATTTTTTTTTAGTTGACAAGTGGTGTTTATACTTAAAACAGAGAGAGAGGAGAGAGAGAGAGAGACTGAGAGAAGAGAAAGCATCACTCAAAAGACTAGAGCATGGTAACACTTTAATCACTTCTCATTTTTCCATTCTAGTGAGACTTTGTATACACACACACACACACACACACACACACATTCAGCGTACTTTTCAATGAAGGAAGATCAGTATTTGTGCCAAAATTAGCCACATAAGATCTTGCTCCTTTAACTACTAGGCCATAAGACTGGACCTCTAGTGACATTTTTTAAAAAATCCATTTGAATCATTTTATTCTTTAGCTTAAATTCTTAATGTAAAGTTCAAAAGACTCAGTGCAAATCTTTAGCAGACCTATATGATGAAGAAAATAGATTTGGTGTCCAAAATTGAAGACATCTAGCCACATATCTCTGCTATTGAGACTGTAAACTTTAAGGAAAAAGTATTTTATTATAAGATGCATTAAACCTTTCAGCATAATAGACCTACCTTTGGTAAAGGTTTGGCAGGTTTGCAGTGCAATCCTCCAACAAACTCAAAGTTAGGTAGGTAAGGATGAGGAAATTCAAAATCCCAGTATGTCCGGATTAGCCAAATGTCAGCTTTCCCTATAGTCTCACACAATGTAGTGGATCTTCCTGGATAAAATGAAGAACAATGAGTGGTGGGAATTAGCATACATGATTAATGGGAGAAAAATGAATCACTAATTTTCTGATAAAGTACAATAATAAGAAAAATCTTAGGTTTACTAGAGTACTAACACTGACAACATGTTTCCATTAGAACTTAAAGACAGACACAAACTTCAAAACACACAATAGAGGATAAATTATACATATGGAAAGTAAAATGTAATAATTAATCACTGACTTACCTAATATTTCACTGTAAAATTGATCCCACTTCTTCGTGTTAAAGGACTCAATTGCATAGTCAAAATATAGGTAATATAACATATTTGTGACCCTCTCCATAAATGTCATTTTGTCACTAAGTTCTGATAAAACAACAGGTACATAGGAAGGAGGTAATAATAGTCCCCCACAAAATTTCTCAAGTGTCTTGCCAGCAGTAAATCGCAGACTGTAGACCAAAGGTAGGTTTAGCAGCTCAGACAGCAGCTCACCACAAGGAGAAATGGCATCTCCAACAACAACATCAAATCTGGATTCTTTCAGTTTCTTTATAAGTTTCTTGTTCAAAACTGCATCCTGACAAAGCTTGAGAACTGTATCAGAATACTCATAAAATGACTTTTGCATCTTTGAAGTATATGCCCACAGTGTACTCCTTGGTAACTCATATGCCCATATCTTAATCCATTTTGTAAAACGGAAAATAAACTCATCCTTAGTAAGGGACGTAGGATAAACCTCGAAGTTAATTGCAGATGATTCGCTGGGATCCACGAGGATGAAAGCTGAAGACACCAGCACAGTCACTTCATGGCCTCTCTGAGCAAGTTCATGCAGTATCGTCTTTAAGTTGATCCAATGACTATATTCCGTTGGCCACACGAGCACTTTCCCACAGGACCCACAGCTGAAGTAACAACAGGACAGTATGAGCAGAAGGAAAGCAGCCTGTATCTTAGACATTCTGGTAAAATGGACCCCTTCTGCATAAACTTTCTTAACTTTTGCTGTGGCTCTTTTATATGTAAAAGAAAGAATCAATTAAGTAGTTAAAATATAACTAGTAAATTTCAAAATCAGAGTCCTTTGCAGATGAAAATAGAATTAGAAAGTAAGTAAAAAAGGAAATGGTGGATGATACTGTGCTAGATATGTGCGTAATAAAATTACAGTATCATTGTAAGGTTCTACCTCAAAGACAAGAGGCAATTACATTGTAGTTAAGGAGTTTCCAATATGAGAAGACAGCATTGTCAATACAAAGGCAATAGAAATACCTACTGGTTTATCTGAACGTATTTGTTGTTGTACCTCTGTTTTATTTCCCTTGCCTTTATTTTTCTGACCTAAAGTACTGTTTCTTTCTTTCCTTTTTTTGGAGAGGTTTCTTTTTTGCTGTAGGGCGCGTGTGCTCGCCAGACAGACACAGAGAGACAGAAAGCAAGAAATTACCCCCCGGGGGGATGGCCACACCACATTCCCTTCTCTTCCATTCTCCTCTCGGGATCTTGGGCACGCACGCAAACGCGCCCGGTGTGAGTTTAAGCCACCGGGTCCGGGACTTGAACTGCGGTCGGCTATGTGGGAGTCCAGCGACACAGCCATTACGCTAACTGTTGGTCCCTTCTTTTTTTTTTTTTTTTCTTTAATCAAAACATGGATATTTAACTCCCTTTCAGTTATTTTTGTTCACTTGAACATATTTTCTGTAAATCATGACCCTTTCCTTTCATGAACATTTGGATCATGTCTTAGGTTTCCTACTCTTAGATCATATTTACATTCCAAATACCTTCTTCTGAACTTTGTTTTAAAGGTTGGTTTTTTAATCCAGGTAAGTGCCATTTAAAAGCATATTATGCGAAATGACAATCATATCAGAAGTAGAGAAAAAAAGGTGTCATAAGATAGACAGACTTGTTTTCATCTTATCAATAATTTTCCTATCTGAAGTGAGAGGAAAATCTCCCTTAAAAGGAATTTGAGCATAGTTTCTAGCAAAATACTGTCACAGAGTGGCCATATCCTATATCTTTTTCTTGCCTTTTAGTGGAGCCATTGATGTGTCACCCAGACTCTCTTTATGGAAGTATGGGAATTGTTCTCCAGCTGATGGGAAGATTGTCAGCTGATATTATTCATCTATCAGCTGTGTTTAAGTACTGCTACTTCTGAAGCTAGCTATTTAAAGTAAAGCAATGTTTCCTTCCCAGGTTAGCCCATATCTAATGCTTAGTTGCATGTAGGACTCTAACTCCCAGACTTCTCATTTCAATTTGGGCCAACTCTGAAGAGCTAACTCAGCTTCAGAGCTCCCATGGATGAAACTTATGCTGAGAGCTCATGTCTTACTCCAGTTGAGCTTCTATAACAAAAATATCATAAATTGGGGTGATTTATGAACAACAATGTTATTTCCCTAAAGTCTGGAGGCTGGGAAGTACAAAATGAAGATACTGGTTGATTCAGTCTGGGGAAGTCCAAAAAGTGGGAGATCCAGTGGTTAGTGGTTTCAGGACATTAAATAAAGAATAGAGCTTTGCTTTGCATTTTTTCCTCTGTATGGAAGAAAGAATAATGACTCATAGGTCTTTTCTTTCTTTCTTTTTTTTTTCTTTTGAGAGCTTTTTGCTATAGGGCGCATGTGCTCGCCAGACAGACAGAGAGAGACAGAGAGACAGAAAGCGAAAAACCACCCCCCGGGGGGATGGCCACACCGCAATCCCTTCTCCTCCATTCTCCTCTCAGGACCTTGGGCATGCACGCACATGCGCCCGGCGTGAGTTTTAAGCCACCGGGTCTGGGACGTGAACCGCAGTCGACTACATGTGAGTCCAGCGACATAGCCATTATGCTAACTGTTGGCCCCATCTCATAGGTCTTTTCAAAAATTATATTAATATTCTTGCTCAAATCCCAGGTAACACAAAACCTCCAGCTTTGAGTTTACCCAAACTTAAAAGGACTCTCCAGTAGATCCGTGCTAACACAAAACTTCAAGCTTTGGGTATACCAGAACCTAATAGGACTCTTCAGTAGGTCAGAGTTCTGATGGGCTTTATTATAATTTGGTATAGTATATGTTATAATAAATTTCTATGGGTGGCCAGGAGGTGACATGGTGGTTAATGTGCTAGACTCCCACACTGTGACTCAAGTCCCAGGCCTGGTGGTTTGCTTTCTCATTTTCCCTTTCTCTTTCTTTCTGTCTCTCTCTGGTCAGATTAAGATAATAATAATAATAATAATAATAATAACAACAAATGGAACTAACTAAATAAATGTTTTTAAAAGAAGTTTCAAGGGTGAAAGAAGTTGTTATATGGTATATATGGCAAACTTCTTGGAAGAATCATAACACTCAGAAAGACAAGGGATCTGAACTGAAGAATTATATACATTTGCCTTTTGGGGTGCTAAAGATCCCTGTTAGAGGCTGACCATGGCATATCATGTTAATATTCATCTGAGACCATGCATCACAGAAAAAGCACTGAACAATAAATTAGGCAAAGTGACTCAGCCAGTGAATATTAGCCTGGCTCTATCATTAGCCAGCCTACTAGGGGCCCAAAAGTAAATTGGCAAACAGTTTCATTGTTGAGAATGAGACTATGCATATGGCCACATGTATGATCTCTCAATTAATACAGTTGATCTAACTACTCCCAATACTGAGTCTCAAGAGTATCAGATCTGCTACCAATACATTGAAACACTGATTCCAAAATACGTCACTACTATTTGAGTAAACATGTGGCCACTTGATGACTGGTTTACTAATGTTAAACCCCAATCATTCTAGCTATTCACTCTGAAAAAAATAGCCACATATACTGGAAAGTGTATCTTTTAATCAGCAAGGGCTCTTCAAAGCTGGTACTATCCATTAACCTGAAAATGTAGCAGTAGAACAGTCAAAAGCATGGAGATATATGAAAGTCATATTGAAGTAAAGATTATAAAGTTCATGAATGAAAGTTACTTTACCTTGTCTATAAAACCATTTCTGAGTAGCTTAATATTTCAATATGAAATAGTTTAAGGCAATATTAAGAAAAATAGGAGCACTATAACCAGTAGGAAATTACTGAAAGCTTTCCCTCTAAGAAAGATCATTTACACCCTCACCTAGGACAGAAAGCATCCAGGCACCTCCACCTTTGCCTGTGGTGGGCCTTTGGGTTCAGCTTCAGGGCAGTAAAGCCATACCTAAGCCATGGCCTTTCCCAGACCCCCATGCTAGCTAGGTAGGCAACTGTTTCCTTCTTAGTCTTTGTCTCTTCTAACTTTATTTTTTCTATTTAAAAAAAAATGAAAAACAAAAAACAAAACAGAAAAACCAACTTTCTTCCCTATTTGTGCCTTTCTCTTGTTAATTTGTCTCTTCTTCCCTCACCTAGAACAGAAAGAGGCCAGGCACTCCCACCTTTGCCTGTGTTGGGCCTTTCTCTGGGTTCAGCTACACTGGTGAAACACCCACTCCCCAGCCAGATCCCCCCAGAACTCTTTTCTAGCCAGGTAGGGAAGTGTCTCCCACTTGGTCTTCTTTGTCCCTTCTTTTTATTTTTTCTCTTTTTTTAAAAAACACCCCAGCTTCCTGCCTTGTTTGTCCCTTTCTCTTGTTAATTTGTCTAAACTACCCTCACCTAGGACAGAAAGGGTCCAGGATCATCCGCCTTTGCCTATGCTGGGCTCTGGGTCAGCTTCATGGCTGTGATGCCCCCCAACCCCCCCAACCCCCCCAA